ACAGAAATGTCCTCACACTAGGAAATAATAGAAAAAAAAATCTAATGAAGCATTCATCCTCTTGACAATTCTTCTAAGAATTCCAAGTTATGTGTCATGCACGCATTGTGTGCATTGGGATACTAGTGAATTTAACAAATTTTACATGCATCTAGGCGTAAGTAACAAAGTGATTGAAGATCAGGTACTAATACTTATGAAAGAGCGACATTTAGCAACTGAACCTATTCGAACTTTAATATTCACAAAATCATCATGGGCATAAGTAACAAAGTGATCGAAGATCAGGTACAAATACTTATGAAAGAGCTACATTTAGCAACTAATTGTGCGAACTTCAATTCACAAAATTATCATGGGCTATATAATCCAAGATTTCTCTCTATTATTGTTCATACAACCCAATGACAAATAATTATGACTACTCAAAATCCACGATTTTTGTGTGTTATATAACCCACAATTTTTACAATTTTGTTCGCTTCATCACAATGACAAGTAACAATATTTACTTACAAATTCACGATTTTCATGGTCTATAACCCATTATTTTAATATATTTTAGTTAGTTTCAAGATCATAGAAATTAAATTTTCTCACATAAAACATGCAATTTTTGTGGGCTATGAACCATGTTTTTTATCAATTTTCATTCTTCGAACCAATGCAAAATAAATACGCATATTTAAACTTCGTGACTTTCATGGGCTAGTCCATGACTTTTGTCCATATTGTTCATTTCGACCATTTAACAATTATCTGTGCTAATTTACATATTCGCGATTTTCAAGGGCTAACCTACAATTTTTAGCCATTATTGTTTATTCAACCAAATGACAATTAATTATGATTACTTCAATTTGCGATTTTCGTGGGTTTGTCCATCATCGTTCATTCTACTAAATGACAACTATTCATGACTAGTTCAAACTTCACAATTTTTGTTGGTTATAACCCATGATTTTGAAAACTTTTGTTCATTTCATCCTAATAGCAAGTAACTATATTTACTTTAAAATTTCTCAATTTTCATTGGCTACATAACCCACAATTTCCTGCTATTTTTGTTAGTTTTGGACTAATGGCAATTAAATGTTCTTTTAATATTGCTCTTTTCACAGGTTATAACCCAAAATCTTTGTCAATTTACATTCTTCAGCCAAATGGAGGAGAATAGATGTGTGCCTATAAATCTTCGACTTTCATGAGCTATAGTCCATAATTTATGTTCATTTTGTTTGTTTTGACCATTAGCAACTAAGTGTACAAACTTCAATGTGCACAATTATCAATGCCTTACCCATGATTTTTTTCCATTATCATTTATATGATCGAATGACAAAAAATTACTACTACTTTCAAATTCGGGATTTTGGTGGGTTATAACCCACGATTTTGGAAAATCTTGCTCATTTCATACCAATAGCAAATAACTATCTGTACTTCAAAATTTACGATTTTCATGGGCTTTCGTTAGTTTCAAATTGATAGAAATTAATTCATCAAATATCACAATTTTAATGGGTTATATTTTACAATTTTTGACAATTTTCCTTCTCCGACCTAAGGGGGTGTTTGGTTGCACAGTTTTAAAATTTTTTGAAACCACCCATTTTTCAAATTTATATAGCAAAATTGACCTTCTCTGAAAAAATTTAGCAAAACCAACCCTTTTCAGATGAAAAAAGTCGGTTTTGCTACGGAAGAGGTTTTCGAATTGCACGAGACTAACAGACTTGTGCATTTCGTTTTCTTTACCCGCACCCGTCGTCATCGTCATCCCCGACCTCTCGGCCCAAGCTAACCATCCTCCCCCTCGTCGCCCTCATCTTCTACGACGTCTCTGGTGGCCCATTCGACATCGAGGACTCCGTCTGCTGCGGCTGCGGCTGCGGATATTGTAAGCAAATTTTAAAACCGGACAGATACGGTAACGGATACGGATATGGTTTCGGATTTTTTTCGGATACGGATTCGGAAACGGATATGAGGGTTGTGGATACGGATATCCGCAAATGTAATAATGATTCGTGTCCTAAAGTTACAATTACAAGTTTACAATCCGTAACCGCTAACCCAAACCCGTTTGTAAGTTGTAACCCTAGCGAGTAGCGCCTCTCCAGCTCCCATTCCAGTAAGTTGTAACCCTAGCGAGTAGCGCCTCTCCAGCTCCCATTCCATTCCGCCTCCAGCCCCCACTAAAATTTCCAGCCTCCCTCGTCAAATCCTCGTCAAATTCATCATATCCTCATCTTCGTCGTCTTCGTCTAGGTCTATGTAGCACGGACACGGATCTGACACGGCCATCCGACACGCCGACACGAGGCAAATCCTAAAAAATACATAGGATACGTGTGTTCAACACGTGTGTCCGACACGGACACGACATGACACGGCTTCATGTTATGTGTGTCCGTGCTTCATAGGTCTAGGTGCCTCATCCTCATCCAGGCGTCGTCATCCTCGTCCAGGCGCCATCAAATTTGTCAGATCCTGCGCCGTTCGCCTAGGTGTCATCATCCTCGTCCAGGCGCCGTCAGATCCCAAGTTCATCTTCGTCGTCAGATCCTCGTCCAGCATCAGATCCCAAGTTCATCTTCGCTGTCAGATCCCAAGTTCATCGTCGACAAAGGAAATGGTATAGTGTATAGTTGGGTTTTCATTATTGGTCCCTTAAAAGCTTTAATATTTTGAAATTAGGCCCTCAAATCAGTAAAGTTATTTCATTTAGCTTTGATTTGGGAAAATATTTGATTTACGTTAGCATTTATTATGGAAACAATTGATACCGCTATGCTTATGTTACTTGAAATCCAAGCTTGTTCCTTTAAACTTTAAACTGCGCCTTATAGCTGAGCTGACCATGTGATAATGGGGAATAATTTCCTGTATCTTGTTGTTTGAAGCCTTGATAAGGTTGCATTATGTTGAATTCAAATATTGTGGGTCGGGAGTGGAGAGTTGACCATGTGAAATACATGCTTTCATAAACACATGCTTTCAAATAACTGTCAAGGCAGAATAATTTCCTGTATCTTGTTGTGGCAGAACCATTTCTATGACATTCCTTTTTGTTACATTTCTCACAAGTTGTTGCTGCCATAAATTAGTGATTATGGAACACAATGTGTTCAGCACCTTAGCTCCACAACATCTAAAGCAACAAGCTTCATATAACCAATCTGGTAAATTGATCTTGTGTATTTATAAGATGTTAATCCTTTATCTTTTATTTTATTTTTTTCGAGAAAGATACTTTATCTTTTAACTAATTTCCGATGTAATTTGTGTCATGTTAATTCATTGCAGGTTCTGCCATCATTGGGTCATTCAGAAAGGAATGTGCTGATCTGTGGTCGAGGATTGCTAGTGCAGCTAATGCCACTCCACTGTGTAAAAGTTGGACATTTATCAGATGAAATTTTGGGAATTTGAGTAGATTTCAGAAAGATTTATATTACATTTCTGTAACTGTCTTCGGACTTGTGGTTGTGTCTGCCTGTTCTGTTTACAATCTATTCTCAGAAACTATTCTCAGAAAGTTTTATATGTTTCATTTCATTTAGTTTCTTGTTAACTAATGGAGGAAATTATTTAAATAATAAAATTGATTCTGTATTTTATTTCTTTGATATCATGTTTCCAGAACATGCTTTCATATCTATTATCACCGTCGATCATAGAATAAAGGCTGGTGACATCATGATAGTTCATTAACAAGTTTTTTGTATTTTCTGATTTGCATGGAATAACTGTTTTATAAAATCATTAGGAGAGTTAGGCAGACATCTGATTTGCATAGAATAACTGTTTTCATATCTATTTGTCGAATATCCGTTTATATCCGTGATCATATCCGATCCGATTCTCAAATATCTGATCTGTATCCGTTTTCAATAAGTATGGATATGGTTAATGTTTTTTTCTTACCGAAGATGATCCGTATCCGTATCCATATCCGTTTAGATATGATAAGTGTCATATCTGAACCGTATCCGCTCCGATAACACCCCTAGCTATATAACCCACAATTTCACCATTTTTTCATTTTATCTCAATGGCAAGTAATCATACGAATATTTCGTAGTTCGTGATTTTCATGGGCTATAATACATAATTTTAATCAAAATTTACAATTTTCATGGCAAGTAATTTTTCTTTTTTTTCTTTGACCCAATGGTAAAAGTTCATGATTTTCATGGACAATATTCAATGATTTTTTTTCCATTTTGTTGGTTTTGACTATATATGAATTTATTGTGCAAACTTACATGTTCACAATTTTCATGGGCCTCTTTTCGCCCCAATGACAAATAAGTTTACATACTTGAAACATCATGATTTTCATTTGTTTCGTTTTGTTCTAACCAAGTGGTAATTGAACTCCCTTTCATAAAATGGAGATTTTCATTTATACGACTAAATGAGAAAAAAAATTACTACTTTAAAATACGGGATTTTGGTGGGCTATGATTTTGGCAAATATTGCTCATTTCATACCAATGGCAAATAACTATCCATACTTCATAATTTGCGATTTTCATGTTAGGTCTCATGTTATGAGCCTATATCTTCTAATCTTGTTTTGATGATTACAAACAATTCCTAATATTGTTTGTCTAGTGTTTATGTTTCTTATTAGGTATTCTAGACAAACAATATGTTGGAGGATGGATGGAATTGCGTATTCACGATCATATCCAATGGAGGTTGGCGGAGTAGTGGTTGAAGCCTTGC